ACAGGTTAACATGTTAGACGACTGAGACATTAACAGGTTAGACGACTGAGAGGAGATATGATAACCATCTTCAAGTACTGGAGGGGCTGTCATATGGAGGATGGTACGGAGTTGTTTTCTGTTGCCCCAGAAGGTCGGACCAGAATCAACGGTTTGGAATTAAATCAGAAGAGTTTTCGGCTAAACCTAAGGAGGAAGTTCCTGACAGTTAGAGCAGTTCCTCAGTGGAACAGGCTTCCTCCGGAGGTGGTAGGCTCTCCTTCTTTGGAGGTTTTCAAACGTTGGCTGGGTGGCCATCTGACAGCAATGCGGATTCTGAGAACTTAGGCAGATCATGAGAAGGGAGGGCAAGGAAGGGTTGCCTCAGTGCTTAGTTCTTGTGGCCCTTCCTTACACGCCCGGGGAAATGCCGATCACCACTTTGGGGTCAGGAAGTAATTGTTGTCCAGGCCACTTTTGGCCAGGGATCCTGAAGGCTTTTTTTGTGTGTCATCTTCTGGGCATGGAGCAGGGGTCACCGGGGGGTGTGTGGAGGGGGAGGTATTTGTGAATTTCCTGCATTGTGCAGGGGGTTGGACTAGATGACCCTGGAGATCCCTTCCATCTCTATGATTCTATGAATCAGAGCCTTGGTCCATCACAGTCAGTATGATCTACTCAGACTGGCAGCAGCTCTCCCGGGTCCAGGCTTACCAAGTGGCGGGGGATCCACATGTCTTCACAGGATCCCTGCCGTGGGGATGGCGATACGTGTTGCACCGCCGTCGCCAGGATGTGACGCGACGCGTCGCTCTGGCAACGGGGCTGTTTGGAGTCCTGTTGCCAGAGCGACGCATAGCGTCACATCCTGGCGAAGGTGGGTGCACCACGTATCGCTGTCCCTGCGGCAGGGATCCTGTGAAGACATGCGGATCCCCCGCCGCCACTTGGTAAGCCTACCCGGGTCTCAGGCTGAGGTCTTCTAAGACTGGCCTCTGACGCTGCTGTGGACTCTGGCTGTGTGTGGTGGCATAACCGTGGAGACCACCACATGGGCACCAGTAGCCGAATTCTTCCCGCAAACGGACCTTGATCACTTCTCGGTCCTGAAGTCACAGCGACCTCTCCCCTTTCTCACCTGCCTCTTCAGGAGGTGAGGCGTCCTGTCCTGGGGTTGCTGAATAAGACGCCAAAGCAGACTGACTCCTCTCCCCCTTTCTCCCTCTAACCTGCAGCCGTGGGCTTCCTGGAGAGCTTGGGGGCCTCGGTGGTCGACGTGTCCCTGCCGGAGGTGGAGGAGATCCGCGTGGCGCATGTCGTCTGCATCCTGAGTGAGATGAGGGACTTCCTGCAGCCGGATTTCAACAACCATTTCCAGGAAATGGTAGATTGGGGGGACGAGGGGGCCGGGTCAGTTTTCGGCTGTCTGTTGTTGTTGTTGTTCAGTGGCACAGTCGAGTCCGACTCTTCGCGACCCCATGGACCACACCAAGCCAGGTCCTCCTGTCTTCCGCCCTCCTCCGGTGTTTGCTCAATTTCATGTTCGTTGCATCGATGACACTGTCTAACCATCTCATCCTTTGCCGTCCCCGTCTTCTTTGACCTTCAGTCTTTCCCAGCATCAGGGTCTTCTCCAGTGAGTGCTCCCTTCTCATTTGGTGGCCAAAGTATTTGAGCTTCAGTTTCATTATCTGGCCTTCCAGGGAACAGTCAGGGTTGATTTCTTTGAGGACTGACTGATTCGATCTCCTTGCAGTCCAAGGGACTCTCAAGAGTCTTCTCCAGCACCATAATTCAAAAGCATCTATTCTTCGGCGCTCAGCCTTCCTTATGGCCCAACTCTTGCAGCCATACGTTACCACTGGGAACACCATTGCTTTGACCATACGGACTTTTGTTGGCAGGGTGAGGCCTCTACTTTTTATCATGCTGTCTAGGTTTGCCGTCGCTTTCCTCCCGAGGAGCAGGCGTCTTTTCATTTCATGGCTGCAGACAAGGGGCCCCTTTTTTGGCTGTCTACTCCCTTAGTATTGTGCCCAAGTAGGCACGCGCAAGGGGGCAGGGGAGGCCTTCTTCCTTGTGTGGGCTTCCTGTCAGTGGTGGAGCGTGTCTTGGCGTGGGTCACTCCTGCTCACACCTTAGGTGGGAACCTTGGGCTGATTGGCCCCACATCTAAGAGGTCCCCCCCAGCCGTCCCTGTTTTTGGTCACCTGGGCTCACCTGAGCCTTTGTGTCCCCCCTCTGCTCCTTTCCTAACAAGTCTTAGTGTGACTCCTTCACCTTTTCACAAGATCCTCCGTTAGCAAAAGTTTCTTTTGCGGACGTTCCACCAAACTTCTGAGGACGGGTACATGCCAGTAGATACATCAATGCAAACGGTCCTATTTTGTAGAACAAATTCAGAGTCCAGTGGCACCGCTCTATTCTGCTGTGGTCAGGCCTCACCTGGAGTCCTGTGTCCAGTTTTGGGCACCACATTTTAGGAAGGATGTTGACAAGCTCGAGCGTGTCCGGAAGAGGGCAACCAGGATGGTGAGAGGGTTGGAATCCAAGTCTTACGAGGAAAGGCTGAAAGAGCTGGGTCTTTTTAGCTTGGGAAAGAGAAGGCTTAGAGGGAACATGATTGCGGTCTTCAAGTATCTGAAGGGTTGTCATGTAGAAGATGGAGCAGATCTATTCTCTCTTGCTTCGGATTGCAAGACTAGATCTACTGGGTGGAAATCACAAGGGAGTTGTTACCGGCTAAATATCAGGAGAAACTTCCTAACTGTCAGAGTGGTTGAACAGTGGAACAGTCTGCCTCGGGAGGCGGTGGATGCTCCTTTGCTGGATTTTTTCAAGCGGAGGCTGGACGACCATCTTTCGGGTATGTTGTAGGGCTCTCTTTCAGCTATGCTCCTGCAGAGTGCAGGGGGTTGGACTAGATGACCTGCAAGGTCCCTTCCCACTCTGACATTCTATGATTCTATGAAAGTTTTATTCAAAGTTTTTATTCAAGTGTGCACACATACGTTGTCAAATATGTTGGAAGGAAGGTGAAGGTTCAGATTTATAGACGGGCTGAACAGCACATTAACATGTAACATGATGATGAAGTTTTAACATACCTGAAGACATGACTAAATAAGAAGCTAAGGTTATAAGGTCAACAGCTGTAAAGCAATAAATATGTCAAATTAAGCCCAAGACTTATTTATTGCTTTACCACTGCTGACCTTATAACCTTAGCTTGTTATTTCGTTTTCTCTTTGCATATTTTAAAACCTCTTCATCACTTTACATGTTAATTTGCTGTTCAGCCCCTGTCTATAAGTCTGAACCTTTACCTTCCTTCCAGTGTATCAGAGGAAGTGTGCGTGCACACAAAAGCTCATACCTTGAATAAAACTTTGTTGGTCTTAAAGGTGCTAGGTAAAGGTAAAGGTTTCCCTTGCTTGAAAACCAGTCGAATCCGACTCTAGGAGTGCTGTGCTCATCTCTGTTTCCAAACCTAAAAGCCAGCCGAAGACGTTTCCGTGTTCATGCTGTTACCTTCTCACTGAAGCGGTACCCATTTATCGACTTGCAATTTCTTGCTTTCGAACTGCCAGGTTGGCAGGAGCTGGGGCCAGAGACACTTGGGTCTCGAACTACCGCCGTTCCGGTCTGCAGCTCAGCGTCTTAACCTCTGAGCCACCGCAGCCCCCTTAAAGGTCCTACTGCTTCGGACCAACATGGCTGACCATCCAGTCCTATTTTGTGGTCTGTTTCCCTGATGACCTAGCAAACCAGATACTACTTGATGGTTTAACAACTAAGACAGTATTCATAAGACTCCCTCTAAGTTGTGGAGTCTTGTGAGCAAAAAAAATCTACTTTGTGAGCTACTATTGGCATTAAAGTTGTGAGCGAGCGATTTGGCTTCTGCATGGATTAGTTTTCTCTGGAGTCATCCTTCCTGAGCTAAGACAAAAATGTGTGAGCCGGAGGCTAGAAAACTGTGAGCTAGCTGACACTGACACAGCTTAGAGGGAACATTGGCTGGGCGTCTACATAACGAATACCAATGGAGTATTAAAATCTGGAGAAATCATTCTATGTGGGAGCTGCCTTGATGAAGCATTGAAACAGGGTCCGGGTTGTCCCACTGTCAATGTCTGAAGAAGCGTGTTGAGGCCACGCTGAAGGGCGCCTCCCCCATACTTTTATGCCCTTCCAGCCCTACCTTACACCTGCGACAGCCACTGGACGTCTCCTCTGGTGGATGTTTCTCCTTCCAGTTTGGTGTCGTGGTTAGGAGTGTGGACTCTAATCTGGGAGAACCGGGTTTGATTCCCCACTCCTCCTCCACTTGCAGCTGCTGGTGTGGCCTTGGGTCAGTCACAAGTTCTTTCAGAGCCGTTCTCCCAGGAGCAGTCCTCGAGAGAGCTCTCTCAGCCCCACCGACCTCACAGGGTGTCTGTTGTGGGGAGGGGAAGGGAAAGGAGATTGTAAGCCGCTCTGAGACTCTTCCGGGTAGAGAAGGGTGGGGTATAAATCCAAACTCCTACTCCTCCTCTTCTTCCTCTTCCTCTCCCTTCTGCTCCTCCTCTTCCTCTGCAACTGATTGCCACTGCTGAGCTCTGAGGTGGGCTGACCTGCAATGGGCCTGTACATTCCCTCTGCACCCGTGCCAATGTTGTTCTTGCGGACCTGGGGATCCCGGTGGAGACAGGGCAGCTGGCTGACCACGAACAGTCTGCTCTAGGTGGGCGGGGGGATGAAACACGCCCCTCCATGGCCTCCTGTGATTCCTCGTCCGACTGCTCAGTTGCAGCTGGCTGGTGACTGATAGGCACCGAATCCAGCTGTTCTTCATCAGAGGAGTCAGCACTGTCTCCAGGGCCTGGCAGTTCTAGGACACCATGCCCAGTTCCCTGCACCACCTGAGCACCTTTCCCCAATCAGATGCAGACAGGAGTGCTGCTGCTATTTCCACCAGAAGTGTCACCGCTGTGCCCCACCCACATGCCCTTCCAGTTTGGTGTCGTGGTTAAGTGTGCGGACTCTAATTCAGAAGTTCTCTCAGAGCTGTCCTCTCAAGGGCAGTTCTGGAGAGAGATCTCTCAGCCCCACCTACCTCATAGGGGGGTTGTCTGTTGTGGGGAGGGGAAGGGAAAGGAGTTTGTAAGCCGCTCTGAGACTCCGAGTGAAGGGCGGGGTATAAATCCAATCTCCTCTTCTTCTCAAGGACCATGGGCACTTGGGGGCACGGGTGCAGACAGTGCCAGGGGAGGCGCGTGGGTGGATGGGGGGGACGGGGTGCGAAAGGTCCAGGGGGGGGGCGGGGGTGGAAGGGGGGGGGGGGTTGGCTAGCCCCAGCAGAAGTCCTGGGCCCTGGCAGCTGCCCCACCTCAGGGCATGCTGACGCTCACCCTGGAACAGATCTCTGGGGAACTCTGGGGCGATTCGAGCTTGGCGGCAGGGGTGTCCCACACACGGGAAGAAGCCAGAGTGTGTGGCAGAGGGGCCCTGCTTCCCAGTTCTTCGTCTCCGGCTGGCGGAGGATCCGGCTTTAGCCCAGAAGCTGTTGCTGCACAACCTGCAAGTCTGTTTTAGCAGGATCGCTTAGGAGGCGGTGTCAAACCATGCTTCGCTTTGCTCGCTTTGCTTGCCACAGTTATGGGGGGGGGAATCCCTGCAGGGGGAGGGGGTTGAGTGAGCGAGTTAGAGAAGTGATAACTTTCTTGCACCTCCTTTCCCTTTCGCAGGGTCAGGTGTCCTTGAGAGCTTCTCTGTACCAGCTTGAGCTGCAGATAACCAAGACAGATATCTTTCACTTGGTTGGGATGGCAACGCTAGGCGTGGTGTGTGACGCATGCCTGGGGGAAGGAAGGGGCTTTTATTCGAATTATCTGCATTAAGCTTCTACCTGCCCAAAGTCTTCAGTTCTAACACAGTGACTTTCTGGATCGTGCATACATCGCAATAAACTTATCACTGCCGAGAGATAGTTGTTGAGTGTTGGGGTCTGACGGACGGTTCCGCTTGCCTAGACAGAATGCCGCCCAGACACACCCTCCTGGAGTTGACCTGCCATTTGTCTTTTGCAGAATCTGGAGACTCGCCTGAATCTTGCTCTTGCCTCTCAGTTCACAGCTCTGGATTATATTAAGGTAAGAAACAGGTCGTTGGGTGTAGGGAGAAACTGTCCTCGTAGGGGGAATGTTGGGTGTTTCAAGTCAAAACACTTCAGTATTTACAGGGTTAATGATGTTTGTTAAGTCACATGTTTGTTTGTAACCAATCTGTTTAGA